CAAACCAGTGAGGGCCGAACTAGTACTCAGGTGGGTGACCACTGGGGAATCCTCGGTGTTGTATGTTTTTGCACTTTTTGTTCCTCCCAAAGATAACCGCCGCCGCCGTCCTGACCGTCCTCGTCGCAACCTTCGGCGGGCGCGCCGACGGCATAATACATGTGAAAGGCCTTGGGCAAAATCGTGACGTTCCCGCAGTGTTTCGGTCGGACACAACCCCAGATGCTCTGAATCTATGTTTACCAAGTGTCTATAAGCGGCCGCTCCAAACCTCTACACGAGTGTGTATCCAGAAGTTGCCCACCCAAATCGTCAATCATGTTATTGTGTCCAAACCACAGTTGTCTAGACGCCCTAACACTCCTCCTATACGCCAAGCGTTGATAATATCATTGTAGAAAAGTAAACACAGGAAAAGAAAGCCCACGTTTCCCTTCCTATACCGAACCCCCTCATTGCGACCTCGCCGGCCGTCCAGCAGGCCGGGGCGACGGCCTCGGCGGAAACTTGCCGCCGCTCGGGCTCGACACCCGCTTGTGATCCAGCCACGGATCGTCCTTCCGCGAAGTGAGGCCCCCCTGTAAGACCGCCACGTCGGCGCGCTTTGCGAAGAATACATCGCCGAGCCGGTTGATGTCGGCATCAATCTTTGTCGCCAGGCCGGCCCAGTCGTGTGGGAGGGGGAAATGTTCGGTAAATCGGGGGTGATGATCAGAAGCAGCCTCGCCCGGGCCGGGGCCTTCCATGGCGGAGAGGCTGGTGTCGTCAATGGCGCTCGTGTTCCCGAGCGTGTCATTGCCGACCCCGCCAACGCCGGTGCCATATCCAGCGCTAGGACTTCTTGGCCAGCTGCCCGGGGTCGGCGAGTCTGGAGCCAGGAGGGTAGACGAGCTCCTCCCGTGGGTGGTTTTCCTCGTGCTGGCCGAGTTGGGCAGGGCGTAGATCGGTAGACTGCACACGTAATAGTCGGTGTTCAAATAAACCAGACGGCCGTGGTGGACTCCGATAACCTCACCCAGCTCTATTTGTCGCGCGTTGATGGTGCAGAGAGGGCGGGGGTGGTAATCGAGCGGCGGCGGTGATGGTGACGAAATACCAACATGCGGGCTGGACTCGACGAGATCTTGGGTACTCCAAACCTGGATCGTACGCCGGGTGAGTTCGACAGCACCCACGCTGCGTTTGCAGTAACCGTTCCCCTCATTCTCTTCGGCGATTGTGAGAAAGAATGGCATGTTCGGATCGTCGCGGCAAAGGAGTCGGGTTATTTTCGCCGCGCCAACATCAGCCCTCCAGGAAATGGCCATCGCAAACGTTGCCCAGTATCGCATCTCAATAGTGGCTCCCTCTGCCAAAATAAGCAGTGACTTTTGCGTCGGATGACTAGCCCATCTCTTCACACGATGATTCCGCTGCTCTGTTGCCGCGGCCATCTCGCCTACTGGGGTGCCGCAACCGACTGTGGACTTCTGGGTTGGGCTTCCGTTGAATGACCAAAGCGTGTCACCTTCCTCGCTGGAGACCAGCAGGCGAGAGTGTGTCCCAGATCCTAGTATCTGGTGAATGACTGACGAGGATTCGGCTTGGATTGGAATCGGAGTTGCTACCCACCTGGGCAGTTTGGGCCGAGTTGTCTTACTGATCTTGTGGCAGACCGCGTAGGTAGAGCTAGCAGTAGAGAGTAGCCCTGAGTCGTCGTCATAGTGCATCGATAGCACCGGCGCGTCTCGAGGCATTCTGAACAAGTGCTGCCGCTGCGGCTCATCACCAGCCAAGTCCTGCACAAGGACATCGCCATTGTTCCGCCCAAAGAATACAAAAGCCGAGGATGAGGACCAGGCACATCGAAGAGCCGTGACTGCTGGATCCTCGGCCATGTTGTAGTCAACCTCCTGCATCGGGGTGGACAGAGAAACGGTATCGCTGACGTCTTCCTCGGCGTCCTGGCGTAGCAGGACCGACGGGCTCCAAACACGGGATTGCCGGCCACGCAACTCGATCAGCTTCAAGCCGTCGGCTGTGAAGGTGAGCGAGTTGGCGCTGACGGCGTGTCCGTCGAGTTGCACATAGTAGAGGCACTTGAGCGACCCAGCATCAAACAGGCGCATACCGCCTCGGGGATCCGCCGTTGCGATAGTCCGACCGTCTGGCGTGATGGCAACGCGATGCGCCCAAACCCCAGGCTGCGATTCGAGCATGACCCCCTCCTCGATGTCGTATACGCACAGGTCGCCGCTACCGTAGGTCACCACCATCAAGGCCGAGTCGGGCGCCGAGCTGAAAGCGAGGTCACAGACAGTCTCGATGCCTGTGGATTCCTGGCTCGCCAGGCTCGGCCCGGCGTCGTCAACGGCGCCAAGTGACTCGTAGTCGTGGTCGCATTGGACCCAGAGCTGGCTTTGGCCAAGCTTCGACCTGGAACCTACGTCCTTGACGTATATGTCCTGAACTTGAGAATCTTCGAGGTCCCACAAGATGATATGTGTCCGTCTATACACCACGGCCATCACACCGCGATGTGCACAAAAGGCAATTCGTGATGGATCTCGCTGCGAGATATCGCCCATCTCCTCCAGGCCGACAGTCCAGTTAACCAGGTCGTCTCCTTCCTCACTGGGCTCGTCGGCATTCACATCCCAGGATAAGACTTGATTGGTGCGTAGACCAGCCTGAATAGCGCCGTTATCATCTGTGAACGAGAGCATGATGCACTCAGATGGTAGGGCGATCTTCTGGATCTGGACCCAGGTGTCTGTTCTCCACAGAACCAGATCGTCGGCTGTCGCCGATGCTAGGTAGTCACCCCTAGCGCCAAAGGCGAGGCACCCCACGTACTGATCGCCGTGGACAAGGACGAGCCGTTCCTGGAAAGTCCCATCCTCATAGATATGTATTGTCCCGTTTGGTGCCCCGTAAGCCACGTACTTGTCACTTACTGCTACACATAAAGGACGCATCCGTCTTTCGAATGTGGTGGTTGCGATACAGTCGTCCCAATCGCGGCTGGATAGCCCCTGAACGGAAAGGCCCTTCCGTGGTGAATAGAACTGCTGTCGGATGGCAGAGGCCGGTGGGCAGAATGGATGTATCAGGGCAATTGACGCGGGCGATGCGCGTAATCGTCGACCAAACTTGGGCACCAAGCGGAGGAGGTCATTGGACCACCTCTCGAGCAGAGCAATTTCTTTCTGGATCTGGAGCAGCGGCGGGCCGTATCGCTTGCGTCTGTTCACGACACTCGCGGTGGTCTTGCCTGCGCTGAAGATGCTCTGGAGGCTATTGTGTTTGGCAAGATACTCAATCCACCAGAGGATGCCTGAGGAGGCGAAAAACTGCGCCATTGACTGGAACACTTCGTCATCGAGCAGAGTGTGGGGAATCTTCGCAAGGTGTTGGAAGACATGCCCAGCCGCGTACTGCGCTAGCGGGGACTTCTCCAGGTGTGTCCAAACCGAGAGTGACAGCGCAATGGGCCGTCGTTTGCGCGACGATTTTGAAGTGTCGCTGGTGTGGACTTTCTTGCTGCTATGGAAGTGGTTGTTGCCACAAAGGTGGTGGAGTTGAATTATGGCCAACCTCCGATGTCCTACGCCAGGGTCGATTTGGAAGGCCGAGTCTAGAGACTCGCTAGTTAGCACCTCTCGGGTAGTTTGATGGACCAGCTTGACTCGTTTGGCGGTGTCGACCTCAACCAGGTTGCCACATCTGTCGGCAATCAGCTTCTCCATGTCATTGATCTCGTCTTTGAGGTCGGCCTCGACGGCGCTCTGAAGCTCGTCGGTGGTCAGGGGTCTCCAAGCGCAGACTACCCAATGTAGCAGGGCCTCGGTCTCGCTCTTGTTCTGTTCCGGGATGTCTTCCATTTCCCTGAGAATACTCTGGTACAGCTGCGTGATATCCGACGGGGTAGACTCGAGCACTTTGTCGACGCTCGTCTTGGTATAGACGGACCTGAGATTCTGCTGCACCAAGTACGCCCAAAGAAAGCAGCCATTGGACTTCTTGATGACCTGGGCCAGCAGTGCATCCATCGCTTCGGCTGTGCGCTGGCCGGTAGCAAGCTGGGACCGGAGGAAGAGGGCAATGTCGCTATTTGTATCCCCCTGGGAAATAGCCTCTGAGATGATCTCCGTGGTGGAAGCACCGAGAATTGACGTCTCGGAGGGCCTTGATGTGACGAAGACTCGAAGCGGCCAGTGCCGCGCGGCGCGAAAAAGAAGATTGATGAGATCTCCGGGAAGCTTGCATTCGCCAACAGCGTCGATCACCCAGTACTGCTGTCTGGTTGGACGGACTTTGAGGATGCCGCATGTGAATATTTTCCGCCAAACTGGATGAAAGTCCACACGGTCAACTGGGGGCTCCCTCCAACTTGGCTCCGAAGCGATGTGCAGAATGGTGTCGGCCATTTCTGGATGTATCATGGCCATCTGGAAAGCCATCGACCGCAGGAGCCAGTTAATGTTGTCTCTGCTCTTGTCCCCCTCGCTAAAGAAGAAGAAGCAGCAATCCCGACCGATTGTGTTGAGGTGCTGGACGACGAAGCTCGAAAGGATGCTTTTGCCTGCACCAGGGAGCCCGGTGAGCCAGTAGATCTTGGAGTGGCCGCCGTCAATCCACTCCAAAAATGAGCTTTTCCGAAGAAGCCACTGACAACTCCCGGGCACTTGGCGGAGGTCGTTGATCAGCTCCTCTCCTGGCACGTCTCGGACACCGAGGAACTCTCCAATCTCCATCCGATGTCCGGCGGCAATCCCATGCTCCTCGACCTCTCTATCGGCATTCCTCTTGGCGTAAGTGGTCAAACTGCTGCTGACATTGGAGCGCGGGCTTGTTGGTGATTGAGCAACACCTCGCAAGGAGCCAGCACGAAGCTGGCCAAACTCCGGCTGACGCCCCAAGGGCATTCCATAGCCCTCTGTGGCAGCCTGGGCCCCTTCTCGGATGCACGCCGCAAGGGTGTTACGGACCGTAAGGTAGGATGGGTCGTCGGGAGATGGAAACCGAGCAATGTCCCTGTGGTTCGAGTTAAGATGCATCCTTCGCTCGTTGGGATACCCGAGAACCGCCGCCCGCCTATCCACAATGTAGCCTACACCATAGTTCATGGGCTTTGCCTCGAAGAAGGAGTAGAGCTTCAGCAATCCTGACACTCGGGGGAACTCTTCGTTGATTGCTTGGATCATGGGGGAATTGGGGATCAAATCAGCGACAAAGGGGCGTTCGCCGGCTAGAGAGAGGAGATGTTGGAGCGTGGTTGCAATGTCCGCACCCTGGTGAGGGGTTCCAAGGAAGAAGAGAGCCTGTATTCTCTGGGAAAGGGACTGAAGATCGGGTCGGTTACGAGAGAGAATGTACGCTCTCTTTATCACCAGACCTCCCATGCTATGTCCAACCAGGATGACAGGCGCCTAACCGATACATCCGTTAGCTAATCGTGAAGTGGCCACAGGACAGGACGTTTGGGTCGAGGAGGGCAAACCTTGTCATTAGGCGGTATCTTGGGGCAGTCGCATAGCGAATAGACAAGAGCGTGAGCAAAGTCGTCGGTGTTCAGGATCGACTCTTTGCTTATATTAGATTCGTACCCGAACGTGTGGATTCGGGCGCCCTGGAAGACATCGTCGAGAGCTAGCCATTGCTTGGGCCAGAACTTGGCAGGGTCGCCGTCGTAGGTCCAAGTGCTGTGCGACCCCCCGTTCAGTCCGTGGACGAATACAATATCAGCGATGGCGTGGCCCGTTTCCGGTAAGTGCAGATGGGTCAGGCCGAGTGGCCCCTTTCTTGGCTCGCCGGAGGCCCCGTCTCCCGCACCGCGACGACGAATCGATGGACGACTGGGAAGCGAGAGCGCGAAAAGCGAGCGACCGGTATCCTGCCGCTGAGGCATCGCTACATAGGCTCTAGCCTGCCAGCCTGGATAACTCCCACGCTGTCAGACAGTTAAGGTTGCAGGTGTCTTGTGCCGGGAGCAAGAAATGGACGCGAGTGTCAAGTTGGAGGCACGAGGTGAAGCTAGAGGAAGGGGCCACTGGAGCACAGGCGGGGTCGCTTCCTGCCTCGCTGTCAGGCAACTTCAAATCCCTCAGCGCCAGGCGCGTGGATGAAGTCGTGCTCCAACAGCACCTAGAGTTTTACCGCGGTTGGTGGCCATGTGCTGGTGCCTTGGACTTGGTTTTGAGAGAAGAACACGAACCATGCTAAGGGTGGTCTCGGTGTTTTGCCGCGAGGGCAGAAGACGACTCGAGGGTGGCTCTTGCCTGTCTTGGGGGAGGGAATCTGCGCATTTTTCACGATCGATGCAACGGGTTAATGGCGAAACCCAACCCACCTCTCACAGTCGGAGTCCAGATCGTGAGGTGTGTCGGTCTACCTGCCTCTGTGACTGTAGTTGCTCGTTGCCCGGATTATTGGTAGCTCACACTGCCTACGGTGCGCGCATGGCAAATCGCACTCCCGGGGCGAGAACCTCTCAATCCTTCCCACGCAAGACTGGTTCGGTAGAGGGGCGATGTGCATGTTTTGGTGCTACCGTTTGTGCCACCCCAACGCCCAGCCTGCCTGAGTGGCGTCGCCGTCCGGTCTTGATTGGGCACATCGAAATGGATCACATCGTCAGCAACGTCGTCAGCAGCACCCTCATACGCGGAAGCTGAGCTGCTTCGCTAGCATCCCTGCTCTTTCTCGCGAACCCATTCGTCGCCGCACTCGCACAGTCTGCCACGTCCAGCTAAGACTGGCGCTCGGGGCTTTCGAGGGAACGGGGTGTGCGTTGTTCTGCAAGCCAGGTCTAGACCGCCCCCGACCCCGACCATCGTGAAGGCGGTGGGTATGGCGCTTTTGGTGTATTTACCACAGCTGCTCCCAATCGAAATGTGTCGGGGCGTCCCTCGCCCCGTGTTCTAGGCTCCACGGCCGCAGCCCACAGTCACGGGCGCAACGCCCAAGCACTATGGACGACCTCTGGGAGCTTGACAATACGCACAAGGTGCCCGCCCGCGAAGCCACCGCAGACCTCATCCGAGACGTGGACGATGCGGTCCAGGAAGGTGCGTTGCCCCAGATTAGACTTCCACTGGGACCGCCACAGTTTGTTGTTTGAAGACGGGGCATCTAATAATGCCTCTGCTGCCCCGGTCATGCCTTGCCTCACAGCCTCAAACCTCGGGCATGGGGATGTAAAGATCCTAACCGGTGAGTATTAGTCCGTAAGGCTGATGTCAAACTAACACAACAGGTCTGCCCGAGGGGGCTGAGGTCCACAGAATTATTCCCCACGGGGATTCTTTGTGGGGACGCACAGCCAAACTAGAAACGCTGCATCCCGATGGGCGAAAGATGCTGTATTTTCTCAAGGTCGGCCTTGGTCTGACATCCACGACAAGCACCCCCATTAACCTGTTTCCTTTCGGATTAGGTCCATGTCGGGGCACACAGTCATGGATTGATGGCATCCGAGTACCACGCCATGGCCATCATCCACAAGGCCATCCCGGATCTTGCTATCAGGCCCATTGCGTACGGGACTTACGTCTCCAACCCCAACGCCAACTTTTTCCTATCCGAATTCCGCGATATGAGGGAGGAGCTGCCCGATGTGGAAGAGTTCTGCGAGCAGATCGCACTTTTACACAAGCAAGCTGTGAATCCCGACGGCCGTTTCGGCTGGGAATGGCCTGTATACGCCGGCTCCAAGCCCCGAACATACCCGCTAAGCCACTCCTGGGAGGAGACCTTCTCTGCCGGACTCCGCGCCACATTCGAACTCGAGGAGCAGACCCACGGCCCAGACAAGGACCTTGCTGTGCTGAGAGATGCCTTGTTCGACGAGTTGATCCCGCGACTTCTACGCCCGCTGCAGTCCGATGGTCGATCCATACAGCCGACTCTCGTTCATGGAGATCTCTGGCATGGCAACGTCCGTATAGATGTTAGGACAGGCAGCCCCATAATATTTGACCCCTGTAGCCTATGGGCTCACCATGAATGCAAGTTCTCCCTACTTAGCAAAATTGCACCCAGCAAGCCATTGATCGCCACCCGCTGATTCTGGGAGCCACCCAGTCGAACTTGGCCCGTGGGCCTGTCATCGCCATCGCATTGGAGAGCAGTACATTCAAGAATACCGCCGGAAGCATCGAAACCCTTCCGAGCCCGAAAAGGATTTTGAGAACCGCATGCTCCTTTACTCCATGTATGATGACATTGCCGGCAATGCTCGAAGGTGTCGCATCCTGGCTAACACTAATCATTAGCAACTTTGACATCCAGTCTTCGTCCAACTACCCAGGAAACCTTGTACGCAGAGAATTGTACGCAAGCTTCCGTATCAACGAACTATAGGCTGCTTCAGTCTTATGACTAACCTCCCGTAATTCCATAGTGTTAAGGAATCTATCAGGAAACTTCTCTATCGATGCGGGGCTTATTGATTGGTAACTTGTGGGAGGAAGGAACGAGGCTAGGAGGCAATATAATAAAGTACCATGAACCTTGATCAAGAAAAACCACTGACCTCTCCCGGAGTGAGTGTCACTTTTCTTGAATGAAGGTATGACCTTGTTTATCTTGGGGCTCCTTATCTTTACCTAGTTATCCCCACCTCTCTTTTGGCGGATCGCGATTTTGGATGAATTTGTAGAGAGAAGTATAGGCGAAAATCCAAGGGGCAAAACCATCGGCGCAATAATGACGCAGATATCATCACAGCGGCACGTGAACACGTGCTCACTTGTGCGGCGACAGCGCGTGAAGTTTTGGTAGCGACGAACTTTCTTTCAGCTTTGCCGCCTAAACCGGTGAAAACCCTTAGGAGGATTTGGGAGAAAATCTGGCAAGGTCCCAAATTCCGAGGCCAAGCCCGTTTTTTTCTTTGGTCCGCGACCATTTCCGAATGTTCCGCCCGTCCCAAGTGCCGTTCGGTATCCTAGATTGCTCGCACGCTCTCACTGGACGGTTGTTTTGCCGCTACACATGGATAAATATCAGACGCAGTGACGGCGGTATTAAAAACGCCCGTTCCCTACTCCACTCATCCATCCAATCCAAATCCCATCCTGTCTTGTGCGCCCTGAACGCCCTGGTTCCCGGTAGAGTATTCGGACGCACAATCTGGGGTACTGCCGGCATCCCATACACCCTCATTCCTGGCCGCAGATGCTGCTCCAGATGCACGGAGAGTTTGATTGAGGATTACGCAACACACCCATATCTTGTCGTCGGAATCATGTGCCCAAGCGGTCAGGCCGGGGCGCGTGTGTGTGTGTGTGCGTGTGTGTGCGTGTGTGCGCGCGCGTGTGTGTGTGTGTGTGTGTGTGTGTGCGACCCGAAGCTTCCAACAGAGTCCGACGTCGGGTCTGCTGACGCCAAGACAGGCTAAAGGCTTATGCTGGCGATGCCCTCGTGGAGCGCTGCATACTCGCAGAAGCAAGGGGCTCGACAAGAGGTTATTGGAAATGTCGAACTAATATGTCTACAAAATTGGATCGCCACGCTACTATCTCGCCTCCGGCATATCTGGCTGGACGCCAAGCAATACAGTGGCAGTTGCCTCCTTGGGAAGCCGGCTCTCCATCCCGGCATCACGTATTTGGCCCTGATCCCTTATTCCACCCTTCTTTGGGTGGAACATTGATCTATAGTACGCAACATGGCCCTCCGCCCCTTGCGGCTCCCGGCAAGGAAGGTGAAAGATGCCAACCGATGCCGTCCTCAAAGGTTATAATTACCTTGGTTGGCCCGTCCGTTTCCCTGGGTGTAGGATCTTGTTTTATGGAGTAGCGTAGCTCCAATAGGAAGCTCTAAGCCCTGAGTCAGGATTCACCAGGCCTGCCCTCGAAACCGCCGAGATGATTGTCGCTGCCGCCACAGTTGTGGGCTGCCTACTCTTGGGGAGCGCCGCGGCCGGCCCGGTCGAGAAGCGAGCGCCGTACTTCAAGAATGCATTCCGGAATGGCCACTACAAGCTCGACATGGTGGACGACCTCCAATTCAAGGCGATGAACAAGGCTGAGCAGTGGATCAGCAAAAAGTCGAACCGCAACGGGTGCACGCTGGAGAATGCTGCCGTGAGAAGAGAATGGTTAGTGTTGTCCTGCCTGTGCTTGTATACGCCGCGTTGCGCATGACATCAAGCGCGAGTGGCAACTGATTGAGGCACAGGAGCGATCTCTCGGTGCCGGAACGCGAGGAATACATCGCTGCGGTCAAGTGCCTCATGAAGCTGCCGCCAAAGTCTCCGAGAGACAAGTTCCCCGGGGCCCTGAGCCGCTTCGATGACTTTGTCGCCTTCCACATGACGCAGGCTGGCCCTCTGCATGGCCCGGTAAGATGGGACCCACCGCAAAACAAATGGCGAAAGACAAGTAGGGGGCTAGACTGATACTAACGCGACCACAGACCAACCTGTTTGCTGCCCATCAATATTTCATCTGGGCCTACGAGAATGCGCTGCGCACCGAGTGCGGATACAAGGGATACCAGCCGGTTCGTCTTTGCTCGTTTGCCCCTGACCGGCAGGAAGCGAGATGCTAATGTCGAGACTTCCCAGTACATGAACTACGAGCGCTACGCCGAAGACCCGGTAAACTCGCCCATGTTCAACGGAAACAGCTCGAGCATGGGCGGCCAGGGAGAGTACAACAACTATCGCGGGGTCATGATGGGATTCCGCGCCCCGTACAACCTGATCAAGCCGGGAGGCGGTGGTGGATGCGTCAAGTCCGGGCCGTTTGCGGAGTAGGCTCCCATTCCCATTCCCATTCCCACCAAACCCACTGAGCATGCCTTGCTCAGAATGTCACGATACTAACGCCAAAGCTTGCAACAGCATGGTGGTCAGCCTGGGCCCTGGGTCAACCGTGGTCAACGGCATCAAGAGGAACCCTCAAGCCAACGGCCTGGGCTCCAACCCCAGGTGCCTGAGGCGCGACATTAATGTCAACTCGGCGCTCGGTGCGAGGGCGAACTACTCGTACTCGCTCATCATGGACTACCCCCAGATCAATAACTTTTACGACCGCTATCTCGGGCAGCCGTTTTTGCAGAACGACAACCACCCGTGGGGAGTAAGTCCCTCCAGCTAGGGGGGCTGGGCTCCATCTCTCCTTTGACTTTTATGGTACCGACATACGCTGACGTCTTGCAGCTCCACAATGCTGGCCACTACATAATCGGTGGAGACCCTGGCGGCGTAAGTGGCCACCCCCCCTCCCTATATCGGTCATGTGAGCGGAGGCGGACTGACAAGCCACGCCCGCGCGCGCACAGGACTTCTACGCCTCCCCCGGCGACCCGGCCTTCTACTTTCACCACGGGGCTCTCGACAGGCTGTGGAGGATCTGGCAGATGCAGGACCCGGAGAAGCGCGTCCAGGGGTCCAACGCGATCCCCGACCCAAACCGCATGGCCATAATGCCGGGCGCCCCGCGGGTCCAGCCGGGGACCAAGATCGAGGACATCGTGGTCGACCTCCAGTGGCTGGGCCCGCCGCCCGCGTCGCTCCGGGAGCTCAACGATCAGTTTGGGGGAGGCGGTGGGCGGTTCTGTTACTACTATGTGTAGAAGAGGATGGGAAAATGGGGAGGGCCCTGAAGGTTGTGGTGAGGTGGCGAGACCTCGAGGTTCGGCATTCTTTGCGAGTCTGTGTGGGCGGGCGGTTGGCGGGGTCAGGGCTGCTTTTTTCTTGCTTTTTTTTCTCTAGTTTTTGTCTCTTTTTATCATCCGATTCAATACTTCTGGTTCGCACAACGGTCCATGCCGTCTGGCCACGCCTGGCCACCTTGCTGCAAACCTTGATCACCACGCGCATGTGCTTATTTTCCCTCTCTCCTGATCTAGGTTTGCACTTTTTTAGTCGGCATTTTTCGTCCGCCCGCCAACCCCAGGAGGTAGCACGGTGGCACGTCGGGCCAAGCTGCAGCATCACACCTAGGCCCACAGGGCGCTGCAGGGACCACTGGGCGTCCAATGGGATCCGTTCCCTCAGGGCGTCCAGGGTCTGATATTTTTCCCCACCCAAGCTCTATAGAAAAAAAAACATCAAGAGAAAATCAATTCAATTGATTGCAATGCCTCGTTATCATAACACACGCCTCGGATCCTCTCAAAAATTACAAAGGGCGAAGGGAAAATAGACTGCCCATTAAATT